AATTAAGTAGGTCCTCTGGACAGGTTCCTAGAAGAACCTGTGCAGAGAACCTAACGATTTTTTTTTATTTTTGTTTGTTCATGAGGAGAATGACATTTTTTGAAATAATTTTAAATAAAAGCTCAACTCAGCTTCAATTAAAAAATAAAATAAAACAATCAATGGCTTCCACCACCTATAACAAACTCTTCCTGGAACCTCAAACACAAAAATGCAAAGGAAAAATCCAGCACCTGAACTGACAGCAGCTCTGTTGACAGAGGTTACATTCACACTTCAGGCAAATCTGTTATTTTTGCATCTATTTAACCCATATCAAAATTATTTTTCTTGATAGTCTGAACATGACAAACCCAATTTTTTTTTTCAAATCCGACCCAGGTCATTTTCCTTTGACGTACTAAATTATATATATCTGATGTTTTTCCAAATTAACCTCAGTCTGAACGCTCAGGTTGAAAGTCACTGAGGTGGGGGTAAGTGGATCGATTCAGGTCATAATAATGATAATAACCTTGTGCAGTTTATATCTTGAAACGTGGCACATCTGAAGCTACAGAACAGAAGTCAAGTTGATTCGTCCTGGTTCTTTTAATTTGCCATGTCTTAGAAGACTGAGAATCCACAGCATTATACAATACTAACGTTAGCGTCGGACCGTATAGGTACTAATGGGATGGGACTGATACCAGTTCAAATGTAAACACTGAACCAAACAAGCATGTCAGATAAGTGTTTAACTGGTTCTGATTACACTACTTCTGAACTGATGCACACATGCTGACATGTAGCATCCATTTTTACTTTCTTAAATATACAGAAGACGAGTGACGTCCTGTCTTCTTCTGCACATGTGGATCCCCACAGAACGGTTCACAGTGGAGTCTGATGGAGGTTGTGTTTCACTTAAAATGTGAGCGAAGAAAAAAAAGTCTGAATTGAGCATTAAAACTTGCAGTGTGACCGTAGCCTTAGATCTGAATGTAGAGCCTTGCGGGGAAATTGCTAGTTTTTTTTAAACAAGCCCAACATCCGAGGAGCAAGAGAAATGCAAGAAAAAAAAATAAAAGCTTCAACAGCAAAAAGCCAAAAGAACAAACTCCCCAAAAGAAATTCAAACCTAAAGAACCTCAGCTCAGCTACAAAGCAAAACAGTACAAAAAGAAAAGGATTAACTCACGCTTCAGAGTGGGTAATGTCATCCAAAGTGGCTGAGGCAGAACGATATCTGAAGACACAACAGTAAAACAATGACACACAGGTAAAAACACACTATTAACAAGTTCTAAAACCCTCATTTCCAATATAAAAAATAAACAGAAAAGTTCAAACTGAGGATTATGATAAAAAAAACTGAGTTTATATTAATTAATATATTTTAATATTATAAAACATTATGATTCACAGGAAGTTACAAAAACAAAAGTTATTTTAACCGCATGTTTAAAATAAAACTTTAAAATGTTATCTGTCTGGCTACAGATAAAATTGTTGGTACCATTCTACACAATCACTGCCTTTAAACATGCACCTTAAGTTCCAACCAATCACAAATAACTAGGGGTGGGAATTAGGCCTGTCGCGATAGACAATAAATCAATTAATTGCACGATAACTTTTTTTGAGGTCGGTAAAAAAAAGACGGCGATAAGTTTAATTTTCCTGCTTGTTTGTTTACTTCGTGTATCTCTCTCCCTCTCTGTGCTCCGCTGCACAGGAGCTCAGCTGACCCCTCCCCTCCTGTTTTCTTAGTGTGAGAGGAGTCAACTCTCGCTTTAGCGTGAGAGCTCRTTSCTAAAGAAACGCTTCAAAGCAGAACGCGGCTGCTGAAGTGTCGGGAGCACTAGAGCCTGGATTTCGCTGCGGAGGGAGGGAGAGAGAGAGAAAGAGAGAGAGAGACAGAGAGGAGGAGGAGAAGGGGTGGGGGCTGAAACTCCCCCAGACCCGCGACAAACTCGTCAAGACTTTACCTGTAGCTCCCAAAAATAACAGGAAACTTAAACGCACCATCCGTGTTTTAACAAAACACCCAAAAAACCTGTAGCTGTCCCAACAACTCATGAGGAAAACTCCGAACTGTCTGTCTGATTTCCTCCCTGCAGCGCTCTGACTGTCCCCTCACTGACTGTCCCCTCACTGACTGTCCCCTCA